TTATTATTATTATTATTATTATTATCTCTTCTTTTCTCTTCTATTTGTTGTTATCTTATTATTAACAATAATCATATGAAAAGGTGTGAAAAAGAAAAAGAAAAACAACACAACAACATAGAGAGACTGACAAGTAGTAGTTTCTCCCATACAATCAAATAAAGGAAACCAAAAAAAAAAAAAAAAAGAGCCAGGGTAGAAAAAGAAGAAAAAAAAAATAGAAAAATTGTGCATCATCAGCGATTTTACTTTTTCTCCTGTTGTACATTAATATAACAGGAAGTGAAAAATAATTAAAACAAAAAGAAGAAAAGAAAAAAAGAATACGTACAAAAACAAGAACAGGAAAAAAAGGGAGTTTAGACAAAACAAACTTTATTCAGAAAAGATATCCAAAATAAAAAAAAAAACTTTTCTGAAAGTCCATATTATTTATAAACCCATATATATATATATATTATCTCTTTAGTTATAAAGCGGTTCTGTCCTGCTTACCTTGCCGATCAGTGTCAAAGTGAATAGGTACAGAAGCGATGGATACCTCACATTCTTTACTAAGCTTAACCAAACAGCCACTAGGCCTTGAGAACAATTGCACAAACTGTGATAACCACGGTGAAAAGGAACAAGAAAGACGGCAAACAAATAGTGAGGAACACCGGGGTGAAGAAGAACCATACTGTAATGGTACTGTAGTTGGTGAATCAACACAACTGTCATTAGGCGACGATAGTCTTCAGGAGGAGAATATGCCGCTTCTCTCACCTGCATTTTCATTACATTCATCTTTGCAATCCCCTTCCTCACCGGGAATTTGTCTTCCGGATGTTCTCCGAACGGATATTCCCATTTCTAATAATCAACATCATCATCATCATCATCATCATCATCATCATGATAATAATAATAATAATAATAATAATAGTGGATCTCTAAAAGAGCAAGGGAATGAGGAACGTTCGCATAAACAACAAGGTCGGGTTTCACTAAGTGCTCTTCGTTCTATTTGTGATCGTATGGGTCAAATCCTAGAACGTCAAGAAGAGTCCTTTCGTGAAATAGATCTCTGTATGCAGAAAACTTCTCTTTCTTCTTCTTTAAACAGAGAAGACTCCTATGATAGAAGACACTTTTCTACATCACGAGAAGCCTCTCATACCTCTTTTCAATTGGAACTCTTTCAAGCAGTCTCAGAATCGAGAAAACAAACAACAGGAATTGGAGGAGTTGGAGGGGAATTATTATCCGCAACTGATACTTTATCAGCGGCCTGTTCTTCTCCACAGGCTCAATCGGTTACATTGTGTCGTCAGACATCTATGGTTCCTGTTTCCTCACATGAGATGACACCTGAAGAAGAACAACGGGTTTTGGAAAACTTACAGAAGCAACAGGAACAAGAACAACAAGAACAACAAGAACAACAAAAACAACAACAAAAACAAGAAAAAGAAAAACTGGAACGAGAAGAAGCTGCACAATTGCGACCCATTGCAGGGGAGTCTTCTGATTATAGTGAAGTTGTATTATTACAAACAGCGGTGAGTAGTTCCACATTAGAGGCTCTATTCTCACCGTGTTTATCTATTTCTCCAATGGCTTCTCCAATGGGAACGGCGAGTATTGTGGTTCCCTTCACCGCCTCTGCTACTCGAGGAGAGAGTGTGACGAGTGTGTCTGTTTCTCCTCTCTCACGGCCACTTTCCGCGTGGTTTGAAAGTCCACACTCTGCCTATCTTCAACGTCGAGAACCATACAATTCATTAGGAACCCCAACACAAAATTCCAGTATTACACCTTGTCAACAATCATTTAATGGTGTTCCTCCATATGGATCTATGATACAACCACGTGGATCATCTTCTGTATCGTCGCCGACTAAACATGTAATGGATGGATCTTTGCCTGGATATGGATGGAGTAGTTCTGGATTATTTGAATTAAGCTTTAATCGAAATTCAAGGTTTTCTCAGCCAGGATCTCCACGAGCTATACAACAACAATACCAAAATTGGTTTCAACAACAACAGCAACAGCAACAACAACAGCAGCAACAGCAACAACAACAACAACATCAACTTTTCTCACAAGGACGTGATGGAAGTAGTACGAGTGATGCTGTAGTGGTACATTCTTCTAGTGCTGAATCCACTGGTGTTAGTTTAATGGAAAATTCAGCACTTCAACTCGAATGGGAGGTTGAACAGAGTGCTGGGGATGTCACTGTACCCGGAGGAGACGCAACGAGAGTAATAGAAGCTGGAGAAAAAGGTGAAGAGAAAGAGGAGATAAGAGAGAGGATAGGAGCTGGTCTTGCTTCTTTGGAAAGTAATGCGAACACCAATAATAATAATAATAATAATAACACCACCACCACCCTTACTGCTACTACTAATACGAATGATAATAATAGTAATGATAGTTCGATGAGACCAGTTGTGGATACTGCTAAGCCTACACCTACACTTAGTCCTACGGTTGATCGTGTACCGCCTGTTCATATCATGCGACGTCCACCAACTGTACCACGGAAAAACATTCAACCAGCCAAATCCTTTACACTCTCTGGTGAATCATCCTTATCATCATTACAGCAATCCTTATCCCCAAGAGATGATTTATTTCGTACAATGAATGATGAATATGATGATTTTTATAATAACGATAATTATAGTGAAGATGATGATGATGATGAGTATGAAGAGGATGGTGATGGGGCTGCAGCTTATTATCCACATCATCGCCAACGTTTATTTGTTCCCTCCCCATTACGTTGGAGGAGTTCACGTAGACATGGTTCACGAGCGGCAGGACGTCGACATAAAAGAGGTGTGGATCCCTCGTGGGATCTCTCATCTCGATTGAAGGAGTTGGAACAAATTCGAGTTTGTAATCATGAGGCACTAGAAGAACGGGAACAACAACAACAACACATGGAGGGACCATCAGAAGGGGAATCCTTTACCGTATTGGATATGAAGTCTGTGGGAGTGAGAGAAGGAGAAGGAAGAGAAGAAGATGAGGATGATCTTCACAGCGATGAGCATTATGAGAAATATCAAAGTGATAGCCATGAAGTAAGACGTCGACGTCAAATGGTGAGTGATGTTTCTCATGTGAAGATGCAAGAAAAGGAGTTGAGGAGTTTATATGGATTGTATAGTATGGATAGTTTAAGTACCAATCATAAGGATGACAATAATGAGAAAACTACAGACGAACAAGAGGAAGATGAAGATGAAAAGCAACAACAACAACAACAACAACAACAAGGAGAAGAAGAAGAGGAACATGATATGGATAAAATAAAGAATATAGACAATAATGAAAGTAGTAGTAAAAGTCATACTGTTGCTTCATCCACAACGTTTTCACAATCAAATCATGGTGTGAAAAGAGAGAAAGAAAACAGTATTGCTCCATTAAATGCATCCATAGCATCTTATGCGCATTCCAACGGGAGTAATGTTAGTAAAAGTAATCCTCTTGATAATGAGGAAGAAGAAGAAGAAGAAGAGGAACAAGAGAAGGAGAAAGAGGAAAAGGAGAAGGAAGAGGAAGAGGAGAAGGATGATGGAAAAGAGTTGAGTGTCAATCCAAATAATGAGGAAGGGATTTCTCTATTCTCCTCTGTTCCTCCTCTGAGGAGTAAAGATGTCAAGAACTATTACAAGTTTAAAAGACTACAGAAAGAAGTCAATCGATTTAATAATGATAATAATAATGACTACGAGGATGAAGTTACTAGTCATACTAGTAACAATAGTAGTAGTATTAGTAGTAGTAGTAATAATAGTAGTGATAGTGGTAGTGATAGTAATGATGATAGTAGTCAAGAAGGCAGTGGACATGGAAGACGAAAGACTCGTATACGAACTCCAAGCACATCTTCTCCACGTTTATTATTAAAACGTACACCACGATCAACTATTATGCCTCAACCACAACGTGCAAATCTCGCTTCATGGGTACGTAATCTTACTCTTCATCATCGTCATCATTCCAATTCCACTACGGCCGCAGTTAATAAGACTACTACTACTACTACTACTACTACTAATACTAATACTAATACTAATACTACTGGGTCTAATACTGGAAATGAAACCACGGTGAAAGATACACTTAGTAATATATTATTACTAGGTAGTTTGTATAATAAACGTAAGGCGGCTGTACAGAAGAAGAAGGAGGAGGATGGTGATGAAAAGGAAAATGATTTGCAACGTCGTACACGACGTCGACAACTTCTTGGTAAGAAACCACGTACAAGAAGTAATCATAATCGTAATCATAGTAATCATAATAATAATAATAATCATCATCAACATCAACATCAACATAATAATAATAATAGTCATCACAACAGGAATGGAACAGGTGGTCTTCTCTCTACACCTACACGGTCTACTATTAGTGGATCCTCACCACCACCACCGCCACTCTCCACAACTACAGCCACTACAACTCCTAATAATTTGGGAATAACTACAAATGAGATAACAACAACAGTAGTAGTAGGAGGAATAGGAATAGGAATAGGAGGAGGAACAGAAGGAGGAGGATTACCAGCTCCACTTACATTACCGCCTAGTGATAGATTAGTTTCAAATGAATACAAACGAACAGATGAATCGGATGTACATACAACTCCCATACAAACACATTTGGCTGTCACTGGTAATCTTCCCTCAACTCCTCTCACGGAGAGAACACTCACAAATAATAGTCAACCCATTTATGCACATGAGACGGGGCAAAAGAAAGTGATTTACCGTTCACCCCGTACACGAGGTAATGTGAGACGTTCCCCATCACCCACTACTGGTGTGGGAAAGAAGGGAGAATATCATCGTATCGTATCTCATACTCTCTCTTCTGGAAATAATACACATCCTACTACTACTACTACTACGACTACACCTAATACACTTACATCCTCTCGAATGGTACGGCAAACAACAGCTGTTGTTGGTGCTTCCACATTAATTCCCCAACAGGCTCCATATATACGAATATCATCTTCTTCACTACAAGAGACTCGTGCACGTGCGGTGGTGACATTTCCAGAGGTTTCGGAAGATGTTTTGGGTGATACCATCAATAGTAATATTACAACTACCGGCACTAGAAGCAGCAGTGGCAGCAATAATAATAATAATAATAATAATAATAATAATAATAATAATAATAATAATAATAATAATAATAATAATAATAATAATAATAATAATAATAATAGTGATAGTGCTAGCAAAAGGACCCGAAGGCAAAATCGGGAATTGGATGATTCAAATAAACGACGCGCCTCTAAATCCCCAACCTTTAAACGTCAACGTACGGCTGTAGTCCTTCTCGATTCCGAACCAGAAAAAAAAGAAATCCCACGATCTAAATATACACGAAAACAACGAAATATACCAGCAGGGAGTTTATTCCAGAGAACAATGACGTACTCGCCAGGATCCCCCGCCACTTCTTACGGCTTTGCACACATTTCAGAGGCGACGATGTCTGAAATTATTCCCCCACCGCCTCCCACAATCACAGCGGGTATGACTTTACATTCTCTTATATCTCCTCTAAGAGGACGGCGGAAATATCCCACGCAGAATACGAATAATGCTACTACTACTACCAATACTATTAATAATAATCATAATCATAATCATAGTAATCATAATCATATTAATAATAATAATAGTAGTAGTAAATCGAGAAAGAAAAGTGCTGTTCGAGCGCGTAGTGCTGGTGCTGTCGTTTCCAATTCTAATACTACTACTGCCGCTGCTGCAAACAATACAGTAGCAGCAAAGTTAATGAAGGCGAGGCAATCACTCTTATGACAACTCTCCCATCAAGAGACAGGAACCATCCCAACAACAACAACAACAACAGGCCATACGAAAAAAAATACAAGAGCCTCCTCTACAGAAAGACGATCTCCAATCTCTCGGGCCACACAACGTCGGGCTTCTGTTTCTTGCGTTTTGGGCAATACGACCGCAGCGAGAACAGTTTCCCGCTCTTCATGGAATTATAGTGGATATACGGCCTTCATTGCTTCCACGCATAAACAACGGGGAGGGGCATTTGGGCGGTTTAATACGGAAACAAATATATCACCTCCACGATATATGCGTATTCCAACTGCCCCATCATGAGAAGAAGTGGGGGGAGGGAAAAGGGCTTCAGTAAGGACTATATATATATATATTTCTTTTGTTTTCTTCTTCTTCTTTTTTCTCTCTTTCTCTTACTCTTTGTTATTTTTATTTATTTTTCTCTTCTTTCATATCCTTTTTTTCCATTTCTTGCTCAGCCAACGAAATGATGTTATTAGCAGGTGTAAAAATTTCAAAGGAATACATAAATATTTATTGGACTTGTGTTTTTGTTGGCGCGTTTAATGATGAAGAAAAGGGAAGAGGAAAAAAAAAAAAAAACAAGAGTGAAAAGAATATATATATATATATATGTAAGGGTGCTTCCTATTATACATAAGAATAATAATCATTATCATTGTAATCATAGTAATATCAACAACAATAACAACCATAATGATAATAGTAATATTATTATGATGATTATTGTTAATATTTCCTTCTGAAGCAAGTTTTTTTTTCTTTTTTTTT